AATTCTTACTCATCCTTCTGCAGGAAACTAGCTGTTTCCAAGTAGAGGAAAGAAGTAAAGATGCACATGGTACCATACCCTCAGATCCATATTCCATGCATCTTAACACCAGGTCGTCCTCTATGCATCTAGCCCAGGGGTAGGCAACCTTTCCCCTTTAAGGGCCAAGGGACTTCAGCTCCTAGAAGCCTCAGCCATGTTGGCCAATAGTCCCAAGTTGGCCAATAGCTCCTGGGATTCTGGGAGCTGAAGTCCCTCAGCCCTTAAAGGGGAAAGGTTGCCTACCCCTGATCTAGCTCAAGCAGCAAATGGATAGGTCAACTCTACCACTGGATGAGCCAGTCGTGTAAATAATTTAAAGATGGCTGCCATTTCATATCAGTCAAATGCTCAATCTACTGTGTATCCAGAGACGGGAAAAGTTCTCTCTTTGTCTCCCTCTCTTTCTTTGGACTACACATCTGAGAATCTCCCAGCTAGAATGAAAAGTAACTTTTCCAAGCTTTCGATATCTACAAGAGTAAAAGAATTCAAAAACAATCCAAAAAGCTTTATAGTGCATAGTTCTGGGCATCAAGGACATTCAGAAATGTGTCCCAAATTATGGGAAGCAGCTATGTACACATAATGGATATTCTTTCGTCTTATACTGATATGCAGCCTTCCTACTTGTGTTGGCGAGAACGTAATTGAAAAAGTACATTATTACATTTATGGCTCCCATGCCCCAATATAACAGACTTCTGGCACCAAGAACTATACCATATAATTCAGGTTACTAAACAGCCAATAGTGCAAGGTGATTCGAAAAGAATGGTGCAAAACCGAATAAATACAGTTTTCTCTTAGATCATTCTTTTTTAATCACCCAATATATAATAATAGACATTTTTTTACTCTCCCTATTTGTAGGAAAGAATAAAAATCTTAAGAATAAAAACTTATCTTTCTGTGGATATTCCTAGCAAGATTAATGGTAACTAAACACTGGAAGTCTAGAGAGAAAACAGATATGTTTATGTGGTGGAGAAAAATATGGGACTAGGCTTAGAATGAAAAATTGACTGAAAGTAATAAGTCATTATGAAGGCAAAAAGAGGACACATTTAGTAAAACAAGGGAGCTTTTTATTTTGTTCATGAGATCTGGCTCTTGAAGTGTAGGCCTTTGTGGATCACTCTGGCAATTTTGGAAAGGGCTGCTTGAATTCTGAAGGAAGGGTGTGTGTGTGTTGTGTGCCTTCAAATCGATTCCAGCTTACGGTGACCCTAAGGCAAAGCTATCATGAGGTTTTCTTGGCAAGACTTGTTCAGAGGAGGCTTGTCATTCCTCTTCCCTGAAGCTGAGAGCATGTGACTTGCCCAAGGTAACCAAATGGAATTTATGGCCGAGCTGGGAATCGAACCCTGGTTTCCAGATTTGTCATCTAAAACCCAAACCAGTACACCACACTGGCAGTGGATGTCATATCTGGACTCTTAAACATTGCAGAAAACACATCATTGTGACTGGTAAATAAAAATATGAATTGATGTAGCAATGTTAATGTATCACAATGACAATATAATTTATGTACATATGCATGTCTACACTTTTTAATTTTCTGCTGTATTCTACCATTAATGTCTTTTTAATATGAACCAAATAATATGCAACCCTATCACATTTTTCCTAGACCATATCTATTGCCTTTTGTTTTTTCACACATGTTTGATTCTTAGCAATGATTAATGAAGTCAAACTGCTTTTGTTTTCAGACACAAATACAATGACGTTTAAAGCTGGACAACCCAGGTATTCTCACTCACACAAAGCCAAAACATCTTACTTACTGTTTGAGAAATCATTAGGAACTATGTGTTTGGTTGTGGATGCCCATAGCTGTAATTTATGCACAGCTTTTAGCGAATACATGCACCAGCTAAGCATTGTTAGGAGAATCCATTTGTGATGACATTGAGTCCTACTGGTACAATACATTCATGAGCAAATGAAAAGAAATTTTGATGGTTACTGCTAAATTAGCCTTGAGGGCTGTAAGGAAATTTTCATCAAGTATGAAGCATTTAATTATGAGATCACCAAGCATATAAATTGGGGGGGGGGTTGTCCTTTGTGCTTGTGTGTTTGTTTTTAAATAATATATCCATAAATCAGTGGTTCCAATCCGTGCATCCTCAAAAGTTGTTGGGTTACAGTTGTTGGCCCAGCATTCTTATGCATTGGCCATACTGGGGCTTCTGGGAGCTGAAGTTGATCAAACTTGGAGACCCAAGTTTGGAAAATTCCGGAGTGAGATTTGGGAAAGGGCACTTAGTCTTGTCACTTAGTGACCAAATGCATCTGAGGAAGTAGACTGAAGTCTATGAAAGCTCATGCTGCCAATTTCTTTCTTTCAGCTAGTCTCAAAGGTGCTACAAGATCTCTCTACATACTGATTCTACAGACTAACATGCCTATACCTTTGAATTCTTGTCTCCAGAATTTAAGCAGTGTTCAGGCAATGCTCCTTCTTTCCTTAATCTAGAAGAGATGATGTGTGCAAACTGCAAGCTGTTTCATGCTACCTGTAACCGTGTTGTGAGTCTTGCAAAATAAGAATGTGGTCTTCTTGGTGAAGCTGTATGGTCCCATCACATACCTGGCCTTGCCATTTTCTCCATCACTTTGCCCATGTGTGATAATCACAGTTTATTTCGAGTCTATCCACGTTGGTTATTCACGCAGCTAACAATGTGAATCTTTCAGGAAAACTAAAAGCAATAACAACAGCCTGAGATCAGTTATCCTGGGTTTTGTGGGGGGGGGGGGTTGGACAGTCCCTCAAAAAACTTAATCAGATGCATTCAAATTTTATGTGAACAATACAGTTTCAACCCACATTCTACTGGGATTATTTACTCCATCTGAATAACCCCCTAAGGAGCAAATGCAGCCCTCTAGCCTCTGACAGTTGCCCACCTCTGTTACACCATGCTGGCTCCCAATTGTATTCAAGCCACTTGTTCTTTTTGTGTTCCATTAATTGTTCTCATTGTGCTCAAACCACATCTTCTCAAATACTCTGAATGGGTTCTCAGCCTAATCTGTCCTTTTAACCCAGCTCACAATCTAGCCATTTGAATAAAGTATGTTGCATTGTGCATGCCATTGTTCAGGTGGAGGGTTTTCTTTGTCCACCATTCTTGACAATTCACAATCCTATTGCTGTTTGGCTTTGGAGAGCAAAGACTCAGTATGGATTGGCTATTAGCTCTTAATTATACCAGGAAAAGCTTTTTCCTCCATCTAGCACTTTGTGGCCTAAATTCTGACCAAACATAAATGAATGGTCCTTTTTAAAAAAAATACTTTCAAGGTATGAGAATGACAGCTTTAATTGATTAGACTTGTTTAGCACTAAAGGAATAAATGCCACTTGAAAGATCATACCCATTTTCCATAATTTCATGCATATTTTTACAGCTCAACACCATAGCTGGAATTAAGAGTTTGTCTCTTGAGGCAGTGTGATATAGTGGTCTGAGCATTGGACTATGACTCTGGAGACTAGGATTCAAATCCCACTTAGCTAAGGAAACCCACTGAGTGACCTTGGGCAAGTTACTTTCTCTCAGCCTCAGAGGAAGGCAAAGGCAAATCGTCTCTGAACAAACCTTGCAAAAACAAAACCCTGGAGGCATGATTACCAGTTTCACATTATATTTTGCCCCTATGGGCTGTTTTGGTTGTCCAGTTCCACAAGATTTGGCATCTTTCTCTTCCAAATTCAATACCTTTTGAATAGTACTCTTCTGGGATGCCCTTCAGTAGCTGCCAACAGCCACTGGAAATTTTCAGGGAGAGGGAGTTTTTGATAAGATGAAATGGCAGCTTTATGGCATATGTGTCTGTCTTACAGAGAACCTAGATTACTCATAACCCACTCCAACTGCCAAGGAGTGCCAATTACCAATCAGCTTGAAGTTATCAAGTTTGCAAGCCTCTCCTCATTTATTCTCTCTTGATGGCCAGTTATGCTCACTTCGAGGGCATGGACTTGCTGATTCGGACCTGTTATTTTGGTTTCTGCTGAGCCATTGTTAAGTTGGAAGGCACGATGGAAGAAGCACATTACTAAAAGCATCTTAGGGAGTTTTGATGCATCCTAATGTCGGTTTTATACCATAACCCTACCACAGCATGGGCAGCTTGCTTTAAAAAAGAGAGAACCTTTTGATTTGCAAAATGATAATAGTTCTCAGTTGTCTGTGTTTATGTGCCTTCAAGTTGCTTGTCAATTTATGGTGACCCCATGGATTTCATAGGATTTTTAAAGGCAAGGAACACTCAGAGGTGGTTTTGCCAGTTCCTTCCTCTGAAATATAGCCTACAGCATCTGGCATTCACTGGTGGTCTCCCATCCATGTATCAACCAACCTGACCTTTTTTAGCTTTCAAGATTAGATGGGATTTGGTGCTTTTATAATATTTAAAACCTTTCTCCTCCAGAAGCGAAAACAAGAGCAGGAAATAGATACAGGTCTTTAACTAATTATTCCTCTTTGGAAGTACTTTCCTGGTACCTGAGATAGCTTTCCTCTTTTTGGAAACTTTGTCTCCATTTTCTCCTTGAAACACTCACTAGGAAAGTTTCTGGATAATTATATATTGATGGGCACATATATGGTTGAGGGAGTTGGACAGGTCAATGGGTCCTTGAATATATACTTACACAAATAGACTAGGACATTATCTACTGGAGGTGAGCTGCATATTCAACAAAGACTTCCTCATTGTAATGGAAAGTTCAAAGTTGTCTTCCATGCCATAGCCAAATATGTATGTACCAACTGTGCCTTTTGCTTCTGTTACAGGTAATCCAACATTGGAGTATGAATGGATGTTTCTGCCAATTTCTTCCAGTTTCTCTTTTTCTGATCTTTTGTTTCTTCCATCCTGTTTCCTCATCACATTAAAAAAATATCCAAACCAAAATTTGTACATATGTTCATGCACATTCCCCACAGTATATTAATTTAACATGCACTTTGGCCTGATATGTGCAATTTTTGCAAGCCAGTTTCCTCTATGTGATGCTTTTCTTTGTGTTTTTCACCTTAGTTTGCACTCTTCCCCAATATACACATTGTGGAATGCATTTTCTCTTGTTCATAGAAGGGCATCTGAGAAAAGTGGGTGTGTTGAAGAGTAGCAGCATTCCAGTTTGAAGATTGATGCAAGAAGTGAGAATTGGGTAAGTTCATCTCAAATACGAACTGAACAAAATCCAGTCCAATCTGTAGGCAGGAGGACCTAAACCTCACTACATGATGGCACAAGGAAAGACACAATGACCTGAAGATCAGTTGCGGGGCATGCACTACTAATCTGCTACAATGACTCAACATTGCCTGATGAAGCAGTATCATTTTATACAACAAGCAATAACGGCCCCAAAGAATAATCAGTCCGTTTATTGATTTTGGCTTGTTTAGTGTTACTGTGCCTAATCAATAAACCCCAAAGTATCTCATCGTAATGGCTGCTTTGCTTTGCCCTCTCCAGTAGCTTTTCAGCTGCCCAGAAAGTCAGATCGATACACCGAAAAAGCTCTTCCACACTTGTCCTTATGAAATGTTTGTATTTCTCCATGTGAGTTTTATGCTGGTAAATGGCTTTTCCAATACATTGAGGGCTCTTCTTTCTTTTTCTTTTCTTTTCTTCTGTAGTGCTGCCTATTGCAATGCAACCATCACACAATCACTGGGTCACCTGGGGGCATCTTACAAGGTCACTTGCGAATTGACTAAAAGAGGTTCATTAACCTTTCAAGTTAAGCCATAAAGATACAGTACAAGAATCAAAAAAGTGGTCACAAATGATCCACAAGCCAACATGAATTCTAGGTTGTTAGGGATGATTCCACTCCTGCCAGCTAAGGGCCTTTTAACCAGTTGATAAGCATCCCTTGATATCCCTGGCATTTCCAATTCCAAGCTAGCTATAAAGATGTCAGCAAATTTATCCAAAGTTGGGGTTGGAAATGAATGGCTCAAGATATTTGTTTCTTGGACTGGAATGTCATGTTTGTTTGTTAAAATAAACCCTGTATCTGAGGATTTCAGATTGGCATATATTAAACTCAGTTTAGAACAGTTAATAACAAAAAGAATAATTTCAAAAGAGTAAAAAACATAGTAAACCATTTGACATTTAAAACAAGGTAATTTAAAACCAACTTAAACAATTTAAAATATTGGAAAATATTGGCTTCACTATGGAAACACTCTCTCTATCTAAAAGGAAGGCAACGACAAAACTCATTTGAACAGGTTTTACTGGCAAAACCTTAGGATAGTGTTGCCATAAGTTAGAATTGATTTGAAAGCATATTAACTATAACCATAACACATGTACAAATTGGAGAAAAACAAGATTTTAATAAAAGGCCATGTTTTGAGTTGACACTGGAAT